CAAAACTAAACACATTATCACGAAGTAAATAGCCAATCCGTATAATACACAAATTAAGCAGCAAATTGAGCACACATGGAGTATGAAGAGTAAGCTAATACGTTTTATTTGTTCGAAAACACATACTTTTAACAGTGTCCCCAGGATAAAGCATTAGTTGGTGATTTGTTTAAATAAAACTAATTTCCTAGTTGTATATCAATTAGAATCGTAGCGAGAAAATCCTCACTTAAACGAAAATGTATTATTCAATGTCGAAACATGAGACTGATACTGTTGTTGACTAATGTTGTTTTGATTGCCAACCGATGCGATTGCATGGGCGTTCATTTCATATGTGTCATGTATTTCTTTATGTCATTTTACACAGTTTCAACAAAATGAAATTAAGACAATTTCTTACATTAATGTTCAACTATATGTATATTTTGTTTTTGCAAAACTTTCATAATTTATATCTTTTATATCTTTAATTCGTAGAATATTCATCACCGAAGAATAAGGCTGGACAAGTCTTTAACACAAATAACTCAAGTATGAAACTAAAATAAATTCATTACCGGTTACAAAGGTCTGTTACCTTAAACCCAACTTTTGACTTGTCGACAAAGACATCAGCAAACTCATTCCGTTTTCTGCGTAGCCACTAAATACTTTCCTAATGCATCAAAGAGAACTCTTAAAAACTTGTTTCAGTTGAACCAGCCTCTTTGAGATGAAACTTACAGAATATTTTGTCGGTGAAACGCTACTGCATTTCATTAATCCAATATTTAACCGAACCACACACACACACACACACACACATATATATATATATATATATATATATATATATGCATATATGTATATTTGACACATTTATACGGTTCTTTGTAAGTCTATGAATAAATTCTTAATATTAGACGTTTTAAACTTTTAAAAGTCGAAAATCTATGAATCCTATTTTTTTCCCTATAGCACTTAAACAATTGAATAAAATGTTATAGTGTTTTGAATAACTTGTCAGCAAAAGCACCTTGTATAGCTCCAATGCAATAGCTTGTTAAATTACCAACAATATAATAAGACGGTTTAAGAAAATGTGGTTCTTTTAATTTACAGTATACTACTGTATAGTATAACACAAAGACCATTTAGTAGCCATCATGTTTTGCCACTGCACATAAACAATAGAAAAAAAATAAAGTCGTCATCGTGTATCACAGCTTATGGTTTGTAATCGGTAAATAAACTCTAGAAATTGTTGTTAGAGAAAGGTGAAACATTTGATATATTAACGCCAATGCACGAATAGCAAGTGTAGAAGGACCCATAGTCCTACCTTTTTAAAGAGTTGTTTAGGATAAGTAACTCATAAACATTTCTGTGGAGACTATTTTGAGTGTAAAAAATTCTACAAAAGATGGACGTAATATTATAGATAAAACATACTGGTTAGTCTATAGTAATGTGCATATTCTAAGTACGAAATATTTTTTTTACGTAAAAATAACAAATGTTTGCTTTTATTCTTTGCAAATAATGCTGGAGTTGATTCAAACAAATGATGAGATAAGGCGAAGCTGCTACAATTTCATTTCACTTTTCAACTACATTTCATGAGTCTTAAGCCCGAGATTTTTGTCACATTACTTCAAGTGAGAGGCCTAGAGTTTCGACGTTATAACTTGTACATTGGTGAATGGTGGGACTTGAACACGTTACCTCTAGATAAAATTTCGCGCTACTACTAGAACAGTAAAAAAAATATTAATTTTCAATTTTAATTGGTCATCACTTAATTTAAAAGAAAATGTGTTTAATGTATTCAAAATATATTTTGTTGGTCATTATGGACTCTAAGCAACATAATTTATGATAAAATTAGACTTATTATTTATTTATAATTTAAAAAGTAAATTTAAATCTTGTTATGATAATTTACCAGTAAGTGTATAATAATAGGTTTATAACGTATAATTACGCTATAATTATAACTTATGGATACACTATAATTAATTATTCCTAAACTGCTAACTTTAAACAAATTTTGTTCATCAAGTAGTATCAATATATAATAATTTTGTTTGTGTTTTTATATTAATTGTTCAAGTGATGTGTTAACTTTTCTATAAAAAACATTTTTTCACTATTTAGACTGATACGATTTTGTAAGAATAAAATGCAGTGTATTTTTTACATTAGTAAATGTATTCAAGACACTAAATATTTTACCTCCTACATTACTGTGGATCAGTTCAATTTTTAAGCAATAAATTTGTTAACGGATATATTGTAATATAAGTTTGAAATATACAAAAACATTAATGTTATACCTTAATATAATTTAAATAATCACGTTTTTAATTTGTTCAATAGTTTAAAAGTATACAATAAGTAGCAATAGCAAATCTTACTTTTATATAAATTTCAGTAAACCCTTTTTTTTATTAATCTACCATATAATATATTAAATCCTGTTATACATTAAGCTGTTACGGCAGAATTAAGAGCTTTGTAATGTGTGGCTTTTAATTAGGATTTGTTTGTGAGGGTATTATTTTCACCGCTGATAAACCAATTATCCTCGTTCATTTTTGCATCAACGCCCTTTTCTCTTTTTTTTACAAAAACAGTTGTACAACAGACCTAAAAATACACAGCTTACAATAATTGATTATTTTGTTCTATCAACACTTGATACTTTTATCATGGAGTATCAAATTTGTAATTCATATCACTTAAGCCCTAAACAAAATTCATTATAAAATGTATGGTTTTTTTTATTTATCACTACCACCGCTTAAGCATGTCTTGCCCTACGAATTTCCTGTTAACACTCTTGAATAATATTTAGATCTACCTCTACATTTGGTTATTTATCTTTTTACTATTATTGTGTTACCTTATTTATAAACAAATCTTTCACCGCAATCTGATTTTATCTAATTGAGTCTAAATATGAACATTACTTTCGTTTATATATGTTGAAATATTTTTATAAATACTCTTTTATGATATTATCTTTTTTAACGTAATCTTTGCCGATAACAGTTTGTATTTAATTTTTTTTTTATAATACGAGGTTTAATGACCATAGCGAAATATATGGATTGCAAATTAAAAACCATAAGGACTTTTAACCTAAGAAGTCCGAACTTAAAGTTTTTTTACACATTCCTTATCAAGTTAGGTCTGCATTTATAGTAAGCAGGAAAAATGTATCTCTTAGGAAAAAGTGCTGTTTCCCTTATGGTTAATCTTCTCCTCTACAACTCATGGCCAAGATAAACTTATATTATCACATCAACAACTTAACAATACTTATTATTTTCACTAATATGCGAAGAGTCCACTAGGTATTCGTCTGCATGCGATAAAAACATTAAGATGGATTACATTACTAAATAAAAACTAGTATTTTACATTAAAAGTGATGGTAGCATATAAGAAAAGGCTTTTAGATTTTAGGTTTTAAGATTCTTAGGTTTTAAGATATAAAGGCTTCTCTGAATATCAAATGTTTATCTAACATTAGTGGAATATAGAAGACATTTAAAGCCCAATCCCTCAAACGTTTGTGAATGTACCGTGAATTGAACCCGTCTCTCCCTGGAAATTCTGAGACGCCAATCATTAGGTTATACTAGACACTCAAAAGTAAATTCACTTTGTGTTATTTTTACTTGTACAGTATAGTAGTTGACGCAGCTATCACTTAAAGATAATTATGCATATTTGCAATATTTGTAGAGTCCAAGTAATACTATACTATTTTGGATGTACTGGCTATCATGATTAGATCCATAAAAGATAGTCTTACAGTGGTCACTCGGTCACTGTACCCAGCGGACGTAATCAACCTCAAAGACATCTTCTGAAGAATCAAGATGTCTTGTGCTGCAAATGTATGGCCCCAGAGTGATGTCATAGCTGAATGCTATTCAGAGATTACCTACCAACACAAGTCACAATGAAGAGACATTACTGTTTTGAATACTTACAATTTTTAAATGCATGTGTTGAAAGAATGCGTTAAAATTCCAAACAGAGATCCAATTAGTATGTAGAAGTCGTTATCGTTAGAATCATTAGCTGGCGGAGTTGGCGGAGTGGAAAGTTCACTCCACAACGAGCAAACAAATCAGACCGAATTTCCGGTTTTGTTTGCGAACACTGCGGTCGTTACATTGTGTTTTGTTGAACCGAAAATTCAAATATGTCGAGAAAAGTTTGTTTGATGTTTTAGCCTCGTATTCAATAATCATCAACTCGTAAATATAGTTGTAGCTTTTGGTTAGCTTCTTAAAATGTTAAGCTATGTAAAGATGTATGAAAGCAAATTATAAAGTTAAACAAACCAAACGTTTACAAAAAAAATGAATCTCAAGTATTTTTTCAAATGGTTCTTTCTTGTATACCTCTAAATATACACACTAATAGTTATTGCATTGTTGGCTGTATTAAAACTAGTTGCTCTGCTCGTGTTTCGCTACGGGGTGAGAATACAGAAGAATAATGAGGGTTTTGAAAACTATAACTATAAGAAACAGTTAAAACGCACTACCATGGGTCATAGAGGCAAAGCTCAATTAATTGTACTTATTGCTTATTTCAATGAACACCTCTTATGTTTATAAGCTGTAAAATGAGCTGTTTGGCAGGAAAAAAAATGTTTTATTAGCATAGGCAATCTGTAAGAATTACACGTTTAACCAAGGGGAAAATAAAAGAAATGAAAGAAAAAATCTAATGTAACTGCTAAGTTAAATGCAATATTTTAGATGTCATAAAACAACCCTTTAATTATGGTACGTACCCTTAAGAGAAGGTTTATCGAAAAACTTATACATTACGGGAAGGCTTCACATATACAGGAAGGCCTTTCATACAAGTATTTGGTTGATAGCTCTACGGCTTACAGTTTTCTCAAAAGAGCATTGTTAGCTTTATATGGATATATAAATTTGTACCGTGTCATATGTTTAATGGGATATTGTAAAACAAATTTAACAGTATACAGTATTTTATTTCCCTTTAGTATAATCTTACATACATTATATTGCGAAACATTGAAACTTATTCAGCCCGTATTTACAAAATATTTTGATACATTTCAATGATATAACATATTATTTCTCTGTCACAATAAGGAACATGGTTACAAATAACTTATATACATTCTAAATAGATTGCACAATATTAGTCAATGTTTGTCAGTGTTTTGTTTTTAATTTTTGGACAAATACTTTAAGGAACTTTTTCTTTGAAATTTCTTGAAAATGATCCACAAGACTAGGAAATAACTGGGTTAAAAGTAATTAATATTACACAGTTAAGGTTTGTTAATTGGACATCGATGGAGCTTGTTACAGTGAAGTTCTGCGTTAGGCTACAATAGAGTTAGCTAGCACAATAGAGCAGATTTTGATAGGCAAGTTTACTTACAATATTACAATTTATCCTCTATGATTACAAATTAAATCATGTAGTAAACCTAAGTCATAAAACAAATTATATACCCCAAAAAACTACACTTAATATAATATTAAAAACTATATTTCTCAAAACAGGTACATTTCAACTGTTAACCTTTTTTTGAATCTGTACAAGTAAATCCTAACTTTTAACAAAATTGTCCAATATAGGTTAGTATTTTTTTCCAATTTGTTTTTCAATGGCATTTAGGCAATAAAGGATTGGATTCCAAAGCCAAATCTTATTTTTTAAGCTTAATACATTAACTACCTTTAAGGTTATAAAAAGTATATACTATCATAAATATTCAATGTGTACAAATTTTGTACGTGCTTATACAACACAATATTTATAGTTGGAAATAACAATCTGTTTATGTGCATATAGTACTAATCGAGTTATAAATTCAATAAGGTTATACAATTTAAATATTTTATGAGCTTACGTATCTTACATGGGTTGAATATACAGTAGGCTCAAATCTGTGAGAAAGCTTAAAAAAGACGTATAAAATAATACATTAAGTGTCTTTGTACATTCCGGACTTAAATTGGCCACTATTTGGAGAATCTACAAAAAATATAGGCCAAATAATTTATGCATGCATATGTTTAACAATTCAACAACAATTTAAGAACAGGCAAAACGGACAACATTCAGAAAGTTGTTTTTATACAATTTCAGATAAAAAAGAAATCTTTCTTCGCATTTTAATAATGATTAGTCTGAACGTACTTCTGGAAGATAATTATTTTATAGCTAATGTCACGTTGATATCAGGATTGTAGTGAAGACCAGGACAAAGATCTCTGACCTTGAAGCACCAGCACCTGAGAGAATAAGTTGCATGGGTAAAATAGAATTATAATTTTATTTATGTATATGCAAGCTTGAAGTTTTATAGAGTCAATGAGAAAGAAAAAATAAAAATATTGTCCACATATTGTCTATAAGGGTATTTTCAAATAGGTAAAACATTAAAATTAATGTTTAAAATCTCCAACTTATTTGAGCTATGCAACTTAGTCTGAAGTAGGTTTAGTTTTTAAATCATTTTTGACCCTCAATGTTATTTCTTTCTTCTTGTAATTTGACTTTGAATATTGCATTGGTTAAAATGGTTATTGACAGTTAAGGTTATATGAAGATTTTATATTCAGGTCCTGACTCTGATTCTGATTCTGTATGATGTCTTAAGTAATGCCAGGAAGAAAACATAATCTCCTGAATGAAATAAAATTTCAGCCAAAAAACCGCTTATAACGCATTGTACCCTTAGGTATAAGCTATCGAAGGAATTGAAACCTTGTAAACCCCTTTAAGATGCTTAGGTATGTATAAATATCAAAAATACTGTAAAATATCAATAATCTCAAACCCTATTGGACCAGGAGGGTAACATAGTATATAGTTTCTAGTTTTATATGTTGAGGTAAAAATAGGTTATACTGTTTTATACCTGTTTTGTCTGTGTTTACCTGTTTATAGTTTTAGTTTCAGCACTTTAGGCTACACGCCTTAAACAGGGTTAGAAACAGATAAATTTAATCTGAAAAATTAATACTGAAATAACCCTAAATCTAAGAAAAACAACTGCTGATTCCAAACATTTACTCAATCACAAAATTGTGTACAAAATTAATCAGATTAGGCTTATTTGAAATTAAAATGAATTATTATAGAATAAAAAAAATCTAATACTATAAACTTATTATCCCACCCTTACAGTTGTATCTCCAGAGTCTGAAAAGTTAAGCACTTATTCAGAACCTCCTTATTCCACAACTGTACATAATTTAATAAATCCAATGTTTTAAGTTGGCAAAATCTAATAAACAAAAAACGCAGTTATGTAATTTTTTTCTTTTTTCAGGACGCTAGGGACGAGCCCGTAATTGTTTTTCACATTACTTCAGGCTAGACCTAGGGGTTACGGTATTATCACTTAGATAAAGTCCATTGGTGATTTGGCGGGATTTGAAGCTGGGACCCAAGGAACCAGGAATCCCGTGCTCTACCCACTAGACCAGCTCCCTCCCCAACGAGTTATGTACTACAACGCGGTTATGTACTAAACCCTAAGAAACATAGTATGCGTGACTTCTGTCTCACCATCAAATCCCAGCATTGAGTAAATGTCTATCAACACCTTTTTAATCGTGGCGCCAGTTTACCAAACTTAAACATTCCGGCTATTATTGCATTCTTGAAAATAAACTGTATTTTTGAGATTTCAAAATAGTTTTGTAAAGTTTGCATACCAGATTCCCTCTTCTGTTGAGCAAGCATCTCGTTCAGAGCGCCCGGCAGTCGTGCCTCCCTCGTGGTGGACTGTGTCTGTATGTGAGGTGCCTCGGCGTCACACCGGAGAGACAGCAGTTTGCCGGGGCCCAGGAAGTGCTGCCTCTGGAGGACGAACTTGAGAGTGGCCCAGGTTGTAGAGGTGTTGTCAGGATACCTTACTGGATTGTCAGGAGAGTCCACTAGGTAGTCGTCTGCCTGCAAAGAAAATCATTAGAAAGATTAGTTACAAAAAACTAGTATTTTACATACAAGTGATGGTAGCTCATAAGATAAGGCTTTTAGCATAAGTTTTAACATATAAAGTCTCCGAGTAGCAAATTGATATCTTTCTACATCAGTGGTATATATGACATTTGAAGCCAAGCCCCCTAAACGTTTGTGAAGGTGCCGTGAATTGAACGCGTCTCTCCCTACTAAATCTGAGACGCCTATCATTAGGCTAGACTAGACACTTTTAAGTATAGGACGTTTGTTAGTTGTACTTGTACAGTTATTATTTAAAAAGACAAGAGGTCAATATTTATTTATTTTATAAAGACAAGAGCACAATATTGATTTATATTTAAAAGACAATAGGACAATATCCATTTATACTGTAAAAAGGTTATCATAAAGGTTATCGTTTTCGTTCGCACAATGGTTATCATCAAGCCCAATCCGTGATTGATTATCAAATAGCAACTTTGTTTATGCTCTGATCAAAGTACAGTAATCAATATCTATTGTCCAGATACGGTAGGTTGAATGTATTCAATACCTCTTGACCTCTTGCTGATCCTATATAGAGAATACAGTAATGGATAAACAAATATCTGTAACGTTAGTAAAGGAGTAATGTATTTTATGATTTAGTGGAGGTGCATATGTAAAGTAAAGTTAAATGCAAAAAGTGAACTTATATTTTTCTTGATTCTGCTGAATTACGTCAAGGGTTGTTTACGATACTGCTAGTGGACATCAAAGCATTAAGAAAAGAATATTCCCCGTTAAAATATCCAAGTAAAATTTAAAATAAATAACCTACAGTTAACCTTCTGTTAATGTGACATTAAATAGGATAACTGTGAATTAAAGTTTCATACAACATATAATAAAGTTGGATCCATGACAGGCTGATATGAAGACGTTGCTGAAATTGCCAATATCCTTTACCCGCCATCTCATATTTCACAATATCTTCATCTCTTGATATTTTACCAAGGTTCCAGATTGGTTAAATGCCAATCGTGAGGATTAGGTGGCCTCTTTGGTTTTTAAATTCATAAACTAGTAGAAAAACATCATGTTATGTTTTCTTAGTTTTTTTACAGGCAACAACTTATCACAGGATTATAAAAAAATGCTTGATATGACTAAAAAAAACCATTACCATCTTGTATATTTTACAAATTTACCGTCTTGTCAAAACAGTAGTGTAAATAGAGTATGTTTCAAGTGTTATTAGACGTATTTTAACTTACTCTCCGTAAATAAAAGACGCAGGTATATGAATGAATTATCTAATTTATTTATAATATTTTAAACATGTTTTTGTGTATGGCTGGACGTAGTACATTATTATGTATGTATAAACTCTTTGTATTCCTTTACGGTAAGAACCTTTTTTTTCTACAAATAAATATAATAAAAAATCTATTTAGCAATAGGATTATTAAATATAATATTTTGTCATATAGTTCTAGTTAAGTAGGTAATGTACTTTACACGTGTATAAATAAACCATCCACATTGATTTGATAGTAAAATAGGAGATTTAAATGATAATTTACAATCTAATTTAAAATGAGATTATTGTTATATAATCTCACAAAAATAAATAAACAATCTCATTTTCACAAAGATTTATGAATTACGTTTATAACTATTCCGGTTGTCAGCTAACATACTGAAAACAGTAACATTTTGCATTCAACAGAAAGCCAAAATTACATTAATCTTGGTAGATTTGACAGCATGGAAATTTTGCAGTGAACATCGTTGTAACGTTTTCAGGTAAAACATACAATACCTGGCATATACATATTTTCAAAATTATTTACGTATACTCATCATCTCATCATAGAACGGCAGTGTCAAGCCCTGAACTGTTTCACACATTGCTTCAGGATGGTACTAGAGGGTCGTGGCATTATCAAATAACTACACGCCATTTCGTTGTTGGCGGGATTGAACCCGGGACCCTAGTGACAGAAGTTCAGTGCTCTATGCATTTACCTTCTTGCTCCCTTGATATGTTACGATTTATAATAATTCCATGACGTACGTTTATCATGAAACATATTGTTTCATAATATAATTCATGTTTCACTGTATAGTAATAATTATACAATTTAATAATTGTTATCAGGTTGTTAATATACGTTTCAAACTGCTGCACCTTCAAGAATAATTTTGTTTAAGGGGTTTCCATAACCTTAAAAACATTAAGTTTGTTATATGCCTTATTATGTGTCCAAATTGTGTGGGTAAGAGTTTTCAATGATACAAAAGGTTTCCTTCTCTGAGATAACTAATCTTACTTAATTTCTAAATATGCATGCTTGCAGCTTAAATTAGATTCTGAATCACTGCATCAAAGCGTGATCGCTTATCCAAACACACTTGTCCCATAAGCCTATATTTAGTTAGGCAAATATTTACCTTAAGGTTGTTGATGTACCAGTAGACCCTGGGCGTAGGGTTGGAAGGGGCCGCTGTACAGTTGACCGCTACCTCATCGTGTACTGAGTATGTCTCCTCCATCCCCTCTATGATTGGGGTGTGGCGCGGAAACGCTAATGGAATAATGATATTAGAAATGGTAACTTGCAATCAACCTATAGCTTCTAGCACGATGTACATGGAAACGCTGACGGAATAATGCTATTAGAATTGGTAACTTGCAATCAACTTATAGCTTCTAGCACGATGTACATGGAAACGCTAATATAATAATGCTATTAGAATTGGTAACTTGCAATCAACTTATAGCCTCTAAGCCGATGTGGGGCTATATACTAGAACCTATAGCTACATGATGTATTCTATAACCCCGATCATGAGTGCACGGAAAAGATAATAGAATAATATTTTTGTAATAAACCTCTAACCTTTAGTCCGCTTGACTTGATTAAGAAAGTATAAACATTTTTGTTTGTTGGTGGACATATCAGGGAGTAGAACTAATTAACTTAGTTAATTGAAATACAGTGGTATCTGTAATTCGTACCATAAACCAAGATTAAATATTAATTTACTTAATTAGTTTCTAAACTTACAGTAAAAAAATTAGTTTTTATTCCTCCTATCGAAATGTTTAAACCAAATAAGTTTAATGTTTTTTTTTCATACAAAAGATAGGCAAAAAAATCTTATAATCTTTAACTTAATTGTTCGTTGCCAATAAACTTGTCAACAGATGATTTTTTTATTTCATAAATCTTTAGGTATTTCCCTTTTATTTTTTATGTCTATTAGTAAGACCATTAGTGATTTCGTTTCTTGCAGTTTACTTGTGTATATTTGGCCTACCTAGGACGGTCATATTGTGGTTTTGGAAGATAGTCTCGAAGTTTGGAGCTTCTGTGGACACTTCACATCTATAACTGCCGCTGCTGGCGAAAGTTAAGTCTGTTAGCATTACTCGGTCAATCCCCGATCTGCTCTCCTGAAAAAATATAAAAATATTTATTTCTTTAATGGTAAACTTATAAAAAAAACTAAACTTTAAAGGTAAACTTATTAAAAAACTTTATCTACAAAGCCTGAACGTTATTGCAATTTAAGATTCGTTAATATCCAGCTTATGAACGTTGGGCTTTTAGTAAGTTTGCGAATAACTTAATAGAAAGTTTCCATTAATGATTAGCTGCAACCAAACCAAATACTAGTGGATTTCATTTTTAAGCCACTGTCTATTAACAAAAACTACTAACACCTCACTTTGTGCGTAATAAGTAGAATACAATATCATGGAATGTATTATCCTCCGTTGGAAATCAAACTTGCCCCTCAGTATAAAATAGAAAAAATCACCCCACCTTTTTTTGAGAGGAGCTCTCTTCGTCCTAACATAAAATTAAATTTATCACCTACTTGTGGAAACCATCCAAACCTAAATAAATTTAAAGCAGACTATGGGGATTTTTGTATTTATCATAATTCTACTAATATGTAAATTTCCATAGTATAGTTAAATAAATACTTACTTACACGTAGTATTGCACGAAATACCACTATACTTTCATAAAGATTTTTGAAAGAGTTTTAGTATCATTTCAAATTAAATTTTTCAACAAACGGAAAGACAAGCGCACCATATGTAGCAGAAGTGTTCAGCCTCGTTTAACTTGCGATGTTTAGATATCAAGCATTACATTAAAAAATCAAATGTATAAGCCTTGGATGGAATAGTTAAGAATAAGTTGCCAGAACATAACACACAAGTGTTTAGTAGCCTAAATGTGAAAGAAGAACCGGCGATTGGCACTATGCTCTGAGCGTCTGAACAATATCGACCTATTTGTAAGCTATGTATATAGGTGAAACCGGTAAAGAGATTGGGCTGCATTGCATAAAAGTGTATGCATTGCAGAAAAATGTATAATATGTATGTTAATCTGTTTTGGCCTATAAGAGCATGCAAACTAAAGAATTAATCTTAAAGAAATACCATCGGAAAATTTGTACAAAATAATCCACTAGTGGAATATTTATAAAATATACCTCAGGATCAATCACACTTAAGATAACAATTCACAGAGCTTTTATTGTTTAATTAGATTGTCCCAAGCAGAACACTACAGTTTTCATGAGTTGTTTAAAGAAACTTTGTTATTTTATCAGGGCTAATTAAGTTTGACTAGGACTAGTCAATACGACCTGGATTGCATCCACAGTGAATCTACTGGCTGTAGAATCAACTTAATTACACGATGTTTCAATTTAAAGAAGTAGATTAAAAGACAATAGGCTTACTTCTATTTACGGTCTTACAAATAATTCGCATACAACCATTATACATGATTTGCTTTACCCAGTTGTTTTTATACCCAGGTTGATTAATCGACAACTCATATTCAGTACAACTCTAATGCTGACTATAATTTTTTCTATTTTTTCAAATAGGAAAAATTAAACAACAATTTATTTTAGTCAAGCAACAAACATACATGACTGTGTTTAGATTTTTACAAATGTATACAAATAAGGATTACAAATTGGAACATACAAATAGGAAGTTAGAAATATGATTAACTACTCTATTTTTTTGTATTTACAATTAAATTTAATAAAGGTTTCTTAGAAATTTAGCCAAGAAACTTTGTGATGTCTTAACTTTTTAACTTACTTATCTATACTGTATACAACTACAGCTGTATGATATAGTTACACATGTATTATTTACTTTAAATAAACATTCAATTGCTTGATTGCCATAAACTGTAACCAGAAGTTTGGCTGTATCAATTTAATAATATAATAGATCTTTTAAATTATGGTTGCCTAAAGATCAAAGATTATCTACTAGTAGGATATTTATAAATATACCCCAGGTTCAATCACACCTAAGCAAACAATTCACAGAGCTTTTATTATTTAATTAGATTGTCCCAAGCAGCCTACATACACAGCTGATCAAAGAAATTAAAAGGGTAATTGTATTCCATCGGATTTTAAGTTGAAGACACCCGCCTATCATGTCTCATGACGGTTCGAGTGCCCTAACAAGACTGATTACCACTTACCATTTTTTAGAGTTAACAGTATAAATGTAAATATCTGTTTCAAGTGTTGAGAAATATTCTTTCTATAAATTCAATAACATGTTCAATGCTGATCAAGAAGTTATTTAATTTCATTACTTACTTATTTATTTCCTAAACATACTATACGTTATTGCGATACATACAGTAGACTAATTAAATACTTACATCAATTGAGACGCCAGGTACAGGGAACACCTGACTGCTGGGATGGCTGTCCGGCATATATCTGTAGAACTCGAACTCATCTTTGTACCACTTGACAGAATACAGTTTAGCAGCTTCAGTGTCGAACTTGCATTCAAGCTGGGCATTGTCACCACGGTTGGGCCAACTTGGGCCTTGTAGATCTGATAGTCTCAGCCCACTGACTGCTGTAACAAACAAAATAATGAACATTAGTTTTATTTGGTACTTTCTTCTTAAAAAAATATTTGCGTGTCCAGAGATAATATAAGAGCCTAAGGTATTAAAATTATATTTACACGCCCATGATGCTCAAGGCATATGCTTGGAGCATAGCAAAACATTGGGTGAGCTGTTACTTTACAAACATGTAATGTACTGATACATTACAAGTGGAGGAAGTATACAACGCAACTCAAGATTTTGCTGCTATGGTTTTACTGTCTAACAGCCAACTGAGTCACTGACTAACTAAAATGTGTTTTAATTGAAAACCCCACACCTAGAGTTCACTTAATTACAACCATGATTGCAACAATTCAATAACTAAAAAAAAAAAACAAAAAAAAACGGTATGGCTGTCAGTTAACCTAAGTATGACGTTAAAGATAAAAAAGTAGAAAAAAAAGTAAAAAAAGTAAAAAAGTAAAAAAAGTAGGTAATTGGGCATTGATGTACAGGCGAAGTGACTGGAAGTACAGGGGAAGTGTCATAACCATGATATCAGTCAGATGTCTTTTTGACGATCGGACGAAATGATGTGCTTGGCATAATTATCTTGAGGAGTACATACTCTTGTCCTATATATAGGGTGTCCCACGAAGGGGCTTAAACGTTTGATTTTATATTACGCACCCATTCATGCAACGAACTTTTTGAAACTTTACACAGTTTACAAAGTAGGTTCTTAAAATATTCTGGAAAAATTTCGACTCCCTAACCTCAGTAGAAACAAAATGGCGGCATATTAAAAAACGTTACTTTAAAAACATTAAAAAATTTATTTTTGGTTTTATAAAATATTTGTATTGTTCCTTTCCAGGACAATATGACTTTAAAATAAAAAAAAAACTAGAACATAGCCTAATGGAAAACTAAAAATAACTAATAAATAAATAACTAATAATAAATCATGAAAGTGGTTTTTATAGAAAGCACATTGGTAAATATGTCAATATGCCACCATTTTGTTTCTACTATGGTTAGGGAGTTGAAATTTTTCCAGAATATTTTTAGAACCTACTTTGTGAACTGTGTAAACTTTCAAAAGATTCGGTGCATGAATGGGCGCGTAATATAAATTCAAACGTTTAAACCCCTTCGTGGGACACCCGGTACTTATCTATTGAAATTGCTTTTCCATTGACTTAACACAGAAAGTATCGAGCTAATGCCGCTTTTATGCATATCCTATGTATTCAAACTGCGCATATCGATTGCATTCACCCAATTGTAATAGGTCAAATATTTCTTGGTACCACACAGCATTACTAATACATTCTGCTACATGTGCAAAATACACAATGTAAGTATGTAAATTATTTTAAGAAATTTACAAAACAGTATTTTACTAAAATTATATTTATGAACGAAACTGTTAAGGGAGGTCCTGAAAGTTTTGAATGATTCAAAAGTAATCAGGAAAGGAAAAGTTAGAATCCCAATTGTGGTCGAATAAAAGCATTAACATAAAGAAGCCTTTGGCTTGTCTGTAAAGACATCAAAACTTCCCTTCATTTGCTTTATATCAACTGGACGCTTTTCTAATGGATCAAAAGGAATTTTCTCAGACTCTTTCTCGTGGAATTGTTTTCCCGAATGTTTTCACATCATATTATGTTTAAAAAAATAATCTTATGTCAGGTTAAGTAAAATATTTCAGTAATTTGATGTTACCAAACGCATTTAGTATTGGATGGCATAGTTTAATTGACAAGAATGGCTGAGCTGTTATTTTCCCATAAACCCTTTAATGCTGAATACACTTTTATTCGCATCAAAATGAGAATATATTTAAAAAAAAAACTTAACCGTAAGACTAATCCCTGTGGTAAATTCTGTCTCATTTCTTTTTTAGAGTTACGAGGATATTTGAAATCCAACCATACAATACCCCACAATAGGAAGAAAATCTTCAGACTGAAACAATTTGAATTTGTCTGGCTAGATTTTAACTCTAAACACACCAAAATGAAAAAGTAAATCAGTACAAAGTTTAGGCCAATCTATGCCACCTACGGTAATATCCTTTTCCCTATAAGGACATTCGCTTATAGGGAACGCCCTATAGACATTCGCACAAGGACTGGTGGTGTTATTTAATTACTTGATACGACATTTCAGCCGTACGCATTCATAGTACTTATCAAAGACAACTATTTTAGCGGTCACTGTCAGGAGAAATTTAAATCTCATTTCAAAATGTCATAGAAGGATATTTTCTTTGTATATTGGATTCAAACGACAAGAAGGGGATTCTCCAATATCTGAACGAGGTACAGACGAATATTGCATTATTCAGCAACGATACACGAGATGAGAGCCCGACACTAGCTAATGTCATTTTGATTGCCAACTAAATGGCATACATTACGGGAAAATTATACACGGGCTTATTCATAATACTGTACAACATTTGATATTAACATCAACAAACTATACGTATATAACAGTTCAACATTGTCAAATTCCTTAGGTATTATTGTGTTTTTTTTTTTTTTATCTTCTACGGCAGAAATAAAAATGTAATTCGCAGAATGCTGTTTGAATTTCTCAATTTATTGGATTATAATACTTAGTGCACAACAGCATGACTCATGAAATGTGACCAAAATATATATGTTTCTTCATAGTTTGAAAGGCAGGCTAATATAGAGAAAAAATCGTGAAACCAATGATATTTTACACACTATTTTATTTTAGGTTTGGGGGAATATCTCCTCTTATGTTATTTTATCATAGCTGATATGATATTTTATAAATATGAATTTGTATTTAAAGTTGTGCATTTTTTTGTTATAAATAGCTTCTTGATCAGCATCGTACGTTTTATAAAATTACCCGAAAGAACATAAATATGTCATTAACTATACACAGGACAACTCATTAAATGTGACCAAATAGGTTTTTCTTAATAATTAAAAAACCAGGCTTATCTAGAAAAAATTCATGTAACCAATGTTATTTCACACGTCATTTTATTTTAGGTTTGGGGGAATATCTCATCTAATGTTATTTTATCATAGCATATTTTAAAACTAAATTGGTATTTAAAGTTGTACATATTTTGTTATAAATAGCTTCTTGATCAGCATCGTAAGTGTTATAAAATTACCCGAAAGTACAAAATTACGTCAAATAGATTGGCCTATTGGGTCTGATGATGATTGGATTGTCAATAGAAATCGATCAACACTTACCATATTTTATATTTATTTACCGTATTGTGAGCACAGTACAAGTGTAATTAGCACAAGTGTTATTTGACGTATATTTGTACTTTCATATATTTTTTGTATGTAAAGGACCTCAGTTTAGTCATAAATTATAGCACAAAATTTATTGTAGTGTCGATGACACAGTGCCTATGTAAATACCTCTTTATCTCGTGTCTTTAGTAACTTGTAGTAGTATTTGTTAATAGTATGATTGATGTAAAAACTGTTGTATGAATGCTATATTTTTCCTTATATTTTAATTAAAAAATTCAAGCAAGAAACTAACAGATAGTTTAACATTGATAAAACTTTTAATAAAAAAATAACACTAAACAAAAATGTCTTTATTGCATCAATGAGGAATGAATCAGTAGTATTATCTGAATATAAAATAAAAAATCGTAAAAGAGAGGTGGTTACAAAAGAACTGTCATTATTTAAGAAGTAGAACTCATATTTTCAATACATTTTACTATCATTTTAGAATGTAAATGTGATTTTAAGACATTAAGATTCACCTGCAGCATTTATTCTCCAAACTTATTCGTATAGAAGGAACAGGATGCAGAATGTAAACAGCGAGCTACGTTTTTCCAAGAAGTAGCACAATGCAGCTCCTTAAATAGACCATTAGAAAAAAAATCTAAGAATAAAAACCATTTAGATTACATATAAATTCTTAAAAAAAATCATGAAATACAAGGTGTCTTATGAGAAATGTTAAAATACATTCAGAAATAGCAGCCCTTTTTTAAAAGTAGAATATGCATTGCTTAATTTCATGAAAATTAGTTAATGTTCTCCATTTGAAGTGTTCTCTAAATATTATAGTTTCTGAGATGCCATTGTTGGCACATTTAAGCTCTGCCTGTCTTTCAAATGACTAGTAAATATTTTTTTATCGACTTAAGTCGGTATGCATATCACGAAAATGTACTTTAGGTTGACATTACCGATATACCAAACATTGCTAATGACTCATCAAACCTCATACAATCATGTTATTACGTAATACACTGGAAGAATTGCAAAGGAACAAAGTAATAAATCGTGTTATCGGAGAAATATAGTTTCGAGGTAAATATCGATTCAAATAACCTTTTTTATCTATATTGTATATTTTAAAAACTTTAAATTATATTAGCCCAAATAAATCGATCTTGCCATAAAAAATCTACCATTTTCCACAATGGCAGAAGAAATAACAAAGAATTCACTATATTTTCTTAAACTATTAAAGTTTCTATCATAATAACCAATAACTAAGACTAAATTACTCTAAATGTTGTACCAAGGGAAATAACCACAGTTTTTAATTAGAACAAACAAAAGCTTTTCCAGAAAGCTACCCCTTTGGCTCTCTGATAAAGACCGCAAAACCTCATTTCATTTACTTTAACGCAGCGAAATGCCATTCCGCTCTGGGTGATCAAAGGTACAATTTAAAAGATTGTTTTTGACTTGTTGCTTTGTTACAAGGGATTGGATTCGGTACTAAAGCAATCGACGCCAATCGAAATTTCAATAATTACCAGGTAGGCTACTAACTATATTAAATTTTTGAACAAAATATCTTTTGGTATGAATGCAGAAAACGTTTTACTAAAACAGTTATGGGTATTCATCCTGCCCACCAAGTTACACGGTTATTTACATACACATTATGAAACTGTATGTAATTGCCTTAATAAATAAAAAAATAATATACGCCTGCAATTTTGTCAATGGAGTAAGCATTAAACGTAACCAAA